ACTATTAAGCTAGTTTAGTTATTTTGTTTATTTAGATTGTGAAAATGGAGGGTTTAAAAACGTGCGAAGAAACGGAAGAGAGCAAGAACTTTGATTGTTTTTAGTGAGAAGCCGTGAAAAGAGGCAGGTCCTTGTAATGTGAGTGATTTGTGGACTGAGAGGAAGCTCTGGTGGTGATAGATCAGCAAGAGGAGCTATGGGGAAATGCAAAAGTTCTGCTGCTAAAGCCATTAAAAAGTGGAAGAGTGACAAGAAGATGGACAAGATGATGGGGGAAGGCATTCTTTGGCCCTGAGAAGATGGATAGCTGCCAGATTAAAGAATTAGATCTGGTTCTTATCAAAGTTTCTACATTGCTCGGTTCCAGAAGAGAGGAGCATTCAGTGCAGGAGGTGGATGATCAAGAGTGTGCCCCTTTTTTTGCATCTGGAAGCTGGCTGCTGCACTGGAGGCTACAGATGCTGCTGCTGTTGAAAGTTGACCATCTTAAAAACCATTTTGGAAGACAGTCCACAAGGTCAGAAAGCAGAGGCCCCCCCCCCCTGACTGAATGAGGACTTTTTCAGCATTACCTTTTAGAAGGAATATTATCTTAGGTTACCCCAGATTGCAGCCCTAATTGGAGATACACCTTGCTGTACTTCTTTGTCCCGGTGCCATCTGGAATACCTGTGATTTCTCAAGCTCCCCTCTTCAATCTCCAATTAGCTCTGTAATCTGGGGTAATCTAAGGTAATATTGCTAATACTGGGAGCCCTCAAAACTTGGTTTTGTCCCTGGACTCTTGATTAGAATGGAGGGAGATCCTCTGTGAGGCATTTGGGTTGCTAATTTCTTTTTTTAATTTCTTTTATTTCCAGATGTTCTTTGAGTTTATTTAGTCTGCATTGTTATTATTGATGTATTCTCTAAACCACCCAATGCCATACAAATTAGTGCAGCCTATAAATTTAATAAATTAAGAGTTTTTAAATTTAGCGGGATTACATGTTATCAGTATTCATGAATTGTTCTGTTCATAAGGCTTAAGTCCCACTGTAACCCAGGGAAATAGTTTTAATATGCCGCAATTCTGAGTTACACAGTCTCGGTTCTATTTTGTCCCTACTATCGTTTAGTTGGCTTTGTTGTGAAACTATTAGATATTAAATACTTACAAGAGGCTTCTTAAAATTGTTGCCATGGGATAGCATCACGAGCACAATATGGTAATTTGTTCAGAACCTTCTATTTAGCTGTGAAAAGGGTTAGTTTACATCTCTCTGAGTTGTTCTTCACTAAGGGCCACAATTAACATTTCCCCTTTAAATGAAAATGTACTTCAACATTTTGTATATTCTTGTTTCCTTTGTAGTTTAATATTCATTGACTTGATTTCTATGTAGATTTATTTTAGTATCATCAACCTACCATTATGCTTTCATGACAGTTTCCTCCTCTAGTATTATACCTACTCAGAGTGTTGTTAAATATGACTGCAATCAAGGTAATTGCAAAGCTGTCTGATATTTTGACATGGGAATAGAAGTTGACCTTCCCTTCACTGGAATGAGCAACTGCACAGGTTTGTGTTTGTTTTAAGGATGCAGTGCAGATTCAAAAAAAAATATGATATTTTATTTTACTTGTTTAAGCATCCATACAGCATTTCAGTAGCGAAACTTTTAGGGACCAGAGATGTGTTTTCTACCTTTACCTAAGAATAGCTCTTCAATGGGAATACTACAAATGGCTGTTTCCCAGATTAATGTAGTCAGCCCATGGGATTGTGACCCAAATGTGGAAGAGTTCCCTCCCCTTCTCCCACCTGAGGGCATCCTACCTTCAGCCCTTCCATCTTTCCCTTTGTCTGTTTTTGCTCACAAAAAAAACCCCTGAAATTTTAGAAAGCTAGCAATGAAATATACAAGAGCATTGAAGAACGCTGTAATCCCGGAGGTCTTTATCCTTTTTAATCTGTTTTAGTTCTACTTCTAAGCCATTATGACTTCTCTCACAACTTTCTGTTTCCACAGTCACTTGCATTGTCTCCATGGATCAATTGCTGAGTGAAGGATTAATAGGAGTGTCATAGGCCGTTGTGACTTGCTCTTTGTGCTGATGGCAGCAGCAACTCCATAGCTGCTGTTCTTTGCTTCTTCTAGGCCCATGGTGACGAACCTATGGCACACGGAGCATTTCTTAGGGCACGCAAGGCGTTGCCCTGTCAGCTCCAGCAGGCATGCGCCCGCTAACCAGCTGATTTTGGTCTTCATTTTGGGCCATTTTTCAGCCTCCGGAGGCTTCAGGAAAGCCTCCAGAAGGTGAAAAATGGCCCAATGCACAAACCAGAAATTGCACATCAATCTCAGCACAGCTTTGGCCTTCTTGGAGACCTAAGTGGCTGTGGAGAGCTCCAGCTTGGCACGGGCTGAGCTGGAGGGGCTCCCATCCTCCGGTTCCCCTTATTTTTTCTGCTTTCCCAGACGTCAAACGTTCCCCTTTCAAAAAATAAGCACCCACACACCCCCTCCCCAAGAAGAGCCAGCCAGCCATTCCCTCCAGAAGCCTAACACTGCGGGCTCTGCACCTTCAACCCGAGCGGTTGGCCAAGCAGCTGGTGAGGAAGGTTTGCAGGGGGAGCATCTCTTGTCCTGGGTCTGCCGGAATAGCAAACAAGAAAACACCCTTCTTCCCACCTCCCTCCCCCACCCCAGTTTTTGAAATAGACTGTGGGCCTGCTGGAGTCTCTGGAGCTCAGCGTACAAAGGACGCTGCACTTCCTTTGCTTTAGCAGCGGGTGTCCCCGCCCTCCTCTCCTGCTTGCAACACAGGGACGTTTGGCAGAGTCCACGGGGTGGGAGGGTGTAAGCATTGTTTCCATTCGTTTTGATCTGGAATCAATTCCCCAGGTTTCACTTTAGGACTCTTGGGAAGCTTCGTTAGAAGGAGCCAGACTTTGGGTGGTTCTTTGTAGAAGGGAGCCGGCCAGGGGTCCTGCTTTTTATAAGAGATCTTGCCCTGGGTTTTTGTTTATTTTTTTCTTTTTGCTGGGGGCTATAGCTTCTCCCTCCTCAACATTGGAAACTTGTGAGTTTTGGATAGAAATAGCCACCTTATTCAACTGGCTTCTTTCAAGGCATTTCCCCCGCTGATAGGCTGAATTGGGNAGACAGGCTTGTATAGAGCTAAGGATATATATTCCTCCTTTGACATTCTTGAATTCTGCAGTTCATTGGGGAACCATTTTTTTCCTAGAATGGTAGAATTTTTAATAGTATGATATTTACAATATTTTCTGGCATGGAACAAATTATCAGGTTGCACATAAATGAACATTCTTTCTGAAGGAAAATTTGTGCTCATGTTGTCAATTTCCTGAACAGTTGAAATCAGAACATTCTGAAAATGATGTTTTAGTCTGAGTTTTTGTTTTAAGATCTCTGCTTTTATGGAAGTGGGCTTAGTGTTCACAAACAAATGCTATTTTGATCTCCATGCGAGTAGGACAGATGATACAGAACTAATATAAAATCCTCATTAAAGAGTTTTGCCATCTGTATACCTACATAACTGATGAATAGACATCACTACCCAGTCTAAAAATCTGTGCATTTATTTTTGGATGACTTTCACTAATTTGAACATAAAATAATGCCTGGAATGTGACTGTCTCAGAACCAAATAGTGTTAACTCGCTTAACTTTCCTGTCTTGTAAAATAGACTTTTATCTCATTCCCAGTCTTCCTATAGTTCATACCTGTAGACATTTAGAAAAAGCAACTAAAATTAAAGAAATAACCAAGGTTGTGACCTAACTTATATACTATATGGAATACCAATCAAAACATTCTTAGATATCCTGAATAAAATGTTTTTTTTTTGGAAACATTATTTTCATACTAGTGATAACCATAGGCTAGATACATGTGTGGGGAGGATTGCTTAGATTCTGTTAATGAAAAACAAGAAAAAAGGGTAGGATTATATCTGATCATTCTGTTTTCTCAAACTTGACCCATTCACATCTATAGATTACAACTGTTATGCAGGCTGAAGGAAATATGAATTGTAATTTATGTTATATTAAGTTGGCAGTGGTTACTATAACTCATATTCATAATTCTCTAAAGTTTTAGGAACTCTCTCTGTGAAGTAGCTAACAAATGTCACTTCATAATTGCAAATCACTCATTTTACTGAATTTATGGGATTTTTTATGTGCTTATTATAAGTAATAAGTATAGAAAATGATTGTCTAGTTTCAATTTTGCAAATAAGTCTTGAAATCTTATTCTGTAGAATGTAAGGATTGAAGGGCCCTTGGAAATGGTCTGCTCAGGACCAAAATTCACTACTGCATTGTCTCTGACAGATCATATCCAGGATCTGTTTAAATATCTCTTAATCTTCCTAGTTTTTGCTCAGTGTCCTGCTTTTCAAAATCCTTCTACACCATCAGACTCTCCTCCCACGGTGTTTGCTATCCTTATATTTTTACAGATTGTTCACATATTTTAGAATCATTTTCTAATCAGTGTCATTTATAAATAATTTGAATATGATTTGTTATTTATTTATTACTTCCTTCCAATTTGTCACAGAGCCGTTGATGTACACTCATTGAATGTAGTGGTTCCACTGATTCTGTGTTCATTAAATGGTAGCATAATCCAGCCCACATTTTTCCATCTTGTCTACTAGGATCTGCAGAAGACTTTGTCAGATGCTTTGATAAAGTTCAGAAATTCCTGCAGTAAACGAAATTGGTTGTTATGTCAAAAAGGAGATTAAGCTTGCCTGACACGCTGCATTCTGCCAAGTGACATTCTGCCAAGCACTCTATTCTTTTTAAAATGTTGCATACCACCTCTTTTGGTGTTGGTCTATTGGTAATCTAATATAGCATTTTGCCCAGTACTGGCATCAAGTTGATCAGTTACTGTTTTTCTCCTTTTGAAAAATAAAGGCATTTGCTTCTCTAATTTTATGGAAGTAAGTTTGTCTTTNGCAGAAAAGTTCTGTTAAAGAACCTTAATAGAATCTCCATGTGTCATTGATAAATTTTAAAATCTGCTTATTCACCAAATGTCAGGATTTAATTGATAGTTTTAAAAAACCATTTTCTGTTCAGTTTGAGTGTCTTTATGGAAAACATTGTTAGTAGAATATTAAGCTATCTCTATAACAAAGAGTGGGATATAGGATCTTATCTTTTATATACTCTAGTTACTAGAGTAATTCTTCTTGGGTGGGTGCTGTTAGGTGAACTGAAAAAATAGATGGCATCACAGGAAACCTGATACATACCTAAATATTTTTTAACATGTAGATTGTTACATATTTTCCAAATGAAACTTATAAATACAACTTTTGGATTTAGTATATCTCACTGTAGTCTCTAAAAGTAATTCCTTTCTATTTTGATAGATCACTAAAATATTAGGTAAAATTTGTCAAGAAATAATGGTGTACCTTACATGGCAGTCAATGTGTTTTTACTATTGAAAGGACTTGTATTACAAGAAAACAGTTCATTAAGAATATTTTAATGAGGCAAGCTATGATCTGTATGAGATTTTATATTTTACATAGTTGTCAGTGTTCTTGTTCCAAGATATTATCTCTATTGGAGCAAGGGAATTCTTTAAAACCTCTGATAGCATTGGTGCCACATAAAATCGTGTTTGAAAGTTATGTATACTCAGCTGAAATTTCAGTCAGTGGGAGAAATTTGATTTGTATTTTTTCAGTTGTGTTTTTCACGGTCATTTTTTAAAAAAAAAAACTTTTAAAAATTAAATTAATATAGAATATTTGCGTAGTGAATTTTATTGGCACATAAAATAGCAATTGTACCACCAAGCTGTGCATGCTTATTATTGCACATCAACACAAATATCTTGATACTGCCTTTTCTCTTTTTCCTGCCATTGAAAACCTTTTGATTAATATTCCTTTTGTAATATTTTAAAGAATTAGATAATTTTTTTTAAATTAAAAAAATAATTTTCACACAATAAGTGCTTCCTCTTAAATATCTCCCTCTTAAGCACATCACCCCCCCCCGCCACTGTACATGCTTTCAACTGGATTTTTCTTTTTACACTTTGCAGTATTTTAAGTCCTTTTTAGTGCAGTTTACGATGACGATACTTTCCCGCTTTTTCTTTTGCCGTGTTGGCACAGGCATTGTGCTTATTCTGTTGCAAGTGATTCCAGTATTTGATCAGTTCGCTAGGCTGGAACTGATGGGAGGTAATTAGATGACTATATTTACAGCTGGAATAAGAAACCCGCCAGTGATTGAAGACAAACTCATTGGGTGGGGGCATTGGGTCAATTCTCAGTTTGGCAAGGCAGATGCCTACATACACATCCTCTAAATGCAACCGCCTGATACTCAGTGAAACCTTGAAAATCTTTTCCGCTAAATCTCCAGAAAACACGTAGCCAGTCCCAGAGCAGAACACAGGGTAGCGTTCGCTTGGATACAGATCAGGTGGCATGTACCACTTGCTGTCTTTGTTCCTGTTAGGTGCATAGCCCCTCATTAGGTAGCCAGTAAAGTATTTTTGCCGGGGAGGCAGCTCCGGTTTCAAAAGCTTGTGTATCAAATACTCCGTATTTACAAACATGTCGCTGTCAGTTTTCATAACGTATGCAACATTTGGGCAGTGGGTGGCCACCCAGTTCATCCCCATGAGCGTTTTAATTGTTAAGTTGTAATAAGTATCCACGTATTCTTGTTGGATGATATCGTGGTATTGCCTGCTTTCTTCCAGGATGGCTTGCTGAAGGTATCCATTCAGTTTAATACTTAAACCTAGCAAAAAAATCCGAAGTATTTGAATCCCAGGTGCCAAGCTTTCGTTTCCCCAGGTTTGCCTGATGGCTTGCCGAGGTTCCGCCTGGTCTGGTTCTGCGGCTATCAGAAGTATTAGGAAGGGACTTGATTCCTGGCATTTTTCAGGCTCATTGATGATGTATTTGAAATGATACGAAGCTGGACGGCCAGTTCCTTTTGCATTGTATATACTCCCATTGGCACTGAGCGTGTTCTCCAAACCAGTGACTCCCTGAGGTGACACTCCTGTGTCGTTGGAATTAGCCGTCATCACCTGTGGCCTCAGGGTTTGAGGAATGGCGTCTTTCCAAATGGTCCTTAAAGAGGAGTGGTTGGTTTCACTTCTTGTTGATCTAAATCCCCGCGTAGTATATGCCACGGGGTTTTCTTTGTATCCAACTCTCCCAGGCAGCCAATCGTGGTGGTTAAAAAAGAGAAATGTAGCAAAAAGGAACACAAGGGAGAGTAGGCCAATGAAGTGTGTGCGGAAGAGGGAGCGTTTGGTATTCCAGGTCATCTTGGCAAAGCAGCAATGGCGCCTCCTCCACTGAAGCATGTTGTAAGTATCCAATAAGGGATATGAGAAGGATCGAAGGAAGCGTTTTCTTGGCTTGGGACCCACTGCTATTTCATGGGATCCATCTTGAGCCTTTTGTAGGCAGATGGCTGGTGACCGACAAGCTCTGCAAAAACCAAAGGAGATTTAAGTGGTTAAGTTTTCAAAGGTTGCTTTCAAAGCTCTTTTTATAAGGAACATATCAAAAAGAAGAGGTATTTTTTTTACAGGAAACAATGATCGTAACTTATGCACTACTATTACATTTTCAAATTATTCTTCAAATCCATCCACAATACTTGCCCAGTTTGATGTTCTTGAATTTTTGATTTGTGCAATCTGTTTTAACAATTATACGAGACCAATACATGACACCGATACAAAACAGGATTATGTTCCCATGGTTTTAAAACTTTCTATCCTCAAGAATCCCATCTGCCTTTGCCACTGAAGTTCTTGAGTACAGCTGTTACCTTTTTTTAAGTACTTCCTGGTCACAGAGTTGCTACAATCCCATATACTTACTTATTGGGGTGTTTGTTTTAAAATAGGCTTGCTTGGAGCAAGATGATTAATGACTTGAGTAAAACCATGTTTCAACATACTGAAAAACTAAGGGCTCTCGGTAAAGATCAAATGTAAAGAATTTGGTACCCAGGGGCAGGATTATGGAAACTAATTAAAGCTAATTTGAATGCATTACCTAGCATGATTCACAGTATCTAGTCCCAATTTCTTGGGAAATTGTCATACGTTGATAGAGGTCATAAATGATTGATTATAGCAGAGCTCTGTTAGTCACAGAATGTTGCTTGGCTTGTTTCCATTGGGCCCTCCTGCGTTCAGAAAGTCAGTGAGAAGATGCACTTTTTAAAATTAATTTTCAGGATGCAAACAGCTCACTTAGATATCCTCCAGAATTAACAAATACTGAACATTTTGATTCATAAGTGATTTTGATCCTTTTAAATGTGCTTTAAAAATTACAATAGAACTTGATATTCTTTTCTTTATATGATTATACTCAAAAAAATCACATTAAATATCCCTTTAGCTTCTAAAAGCTGTTGTAATTTATTTGGGATTTCAACTATGTACTTGCACATACAGACCCACTCCCTATGCCCACTAGTAGCATTTCCTAGAAATAAATCAGTCTTCATTGAAAAGCTGTACTTATCTATGATGAGTAAGATACTTTAAGCAATATTTAAATATTTTTGGTAGATTTATAAAACATATCTTACTGTTACTTCATTTTTGTATTCTAGAATAAAGGTAATGTGGAAGTTTTATGATACTCGATACTAAAACTCATGACATTATCCTCAACTGAGCCATTTTGAATATAATATAAATTGATTTGTGATTCCGTGCATTGTTTTAAATGCTGGGGCTCTGAGCAGGAGTAAAAGTCATATGAATATTTTAATAAGATACTTTTTAAAATGTATATTTATACTATAATTACTGACTTCACTACCTCTTAAAAGCATATATTGGGGTTTTTTTTTAATTTAAAGGAGTACTGTTTTGCATGAATAGCATATTCAATGTCAGTTTCTCGTTTTAAAAAGAATGTGATTGAGAGGGATTATAATGTTAAATTGTCCTTAAATAGGGTGTTTCATCAAACAGGAACTTAAATATACAGTAGCAAAAACAGTTTGAAATAAATGGGAATACAGTCTTTTAATTTTTAATTTAAATTTAATTTAATTTTTCCAGTAGACATTAAGGAAAATTCAGTACGGTATGGAACACGTAGCAAATCTTTTGGGGTCTCAAAAGAAGCATTTTCTGTCATTCAGAACAAAAGCTCCAGTTCATCATGCTAACTACCACTAGGAGGAGCAAGTAGTAGGCTTAGCTTTGAATTGTAGGATGCTGTACATCTTTGTAAAACTTACACCATCCTTGAGCTATAAATTAAAATTCTCAAAACTGTTTTCTCTGGAACAATAAATATCCTACTAAAGTTGCTCCTTTGAACTTGAAAGATTTCAAGTTTAAACATCCACAATATAAACCCTGAATAAATTCTAACATTTTAATAATGTCTAACTTATAGTTTACACTTTTAATTAAAAATTAATAAAATTAAAATCATCATTTTAGATGATTTGTTTGTATATGCAAATATGTATTAACTACTTGAGATACAATTAACTGGTGCAGCTATGTGGAGGACACCGTGAGGACTTCCTGTAAGCTGTGTCTTTTGAGAACTAGATTTTATTTGAACTAGGTCTCCTGTATTTGAGTATTTAAACATGGCAGTTGTTCATTACATCTACATTTGTAGTACACTTAATAGTGTCCAGAAAAGGACAGTCTTTTGTTCTTTAAAGCATAGGTCACCCAATTATATTATAATAAGATGAGTACAGTGTTAATTAATTTTACTATTACATTATACCCAATCAAAGAATACATAAAATATTTAACATAATCTTAGCTGAAAACAACAACATTGATTTTGTAAGAAAATTTAGCAATTATATCAGTTATTTAATGTTTGCATCCCTAAAAGCCACCCTTGAGGGTCAGGAAACTACATGGCACTGAGATAAACAAGAACAGGACTGTGGAAGAAGCCGGTGCTTGCTCTCTGATCATAAATGGGCCACTTTGGATCGTGGCCTACATTAAAGAGCTATGTTAAATGCCTCCTCGAGTTTCAGGTGCTCAGCTCAGATTGAATACTAAAACGACGTTGTTTTGTTTTGGTTATAGGCATGCATATTTAAGTTGTTCATAATTTATTTTTATCTCTTGAGAGCTCCAGACAGTAATCAGAATATTTGAGGGGAAAAGTAGGAAGAATGAAATTTTATGTATCAGACAGGGCAAATTTTTTAATGTCTGTATTAAATAGGGCCTGATCTTAGTTTTGACATACCTGCATTAAGACTTACCAGATGGAGGAATCTTCATTAGTCCTTTTAAAATCCTAATAGTTTAAACAAAAATCCATGGAATGTAAAACAACCTATTTTGACTGAAGATTTTTAAACATTATACATGATAGATATTTCAAAATACGTGTTTTCAGGCTGTTTATTCTATTCTTATAATTTACCTCAGATTTTCTCCTATTATTTTCTCAAAACCAGATTTCTCTATTTTAAAAAAATTATTATGAGTTTTGCCTAAGGCAATGAAAAGCCATTTATGCTTAACAATCATTAATCATTTAGTATTAGTTGTTGGCTGGGGTTTTGGAAGAGAAGGACTCGGGCAGTAAAGCAGTATTAAAATTGCAATGGATTGAGCTCTTAAATTTTTATTACAGATAAGTAACCTGTGATTTTTCCAATAAGCATTTCAGACAAAACCATCAAGTTTAAATGACTAGGAATGCTGGCAATGTAGTTGTTTAATAACATCTTTTGTTACTATGCAGCTCAAAGCATTACATGCTACTCAGAACTTGGGATGATGTGGTATGTGCCCCCATCTTGAAGGAAATAGTATATTGATGCTTCCTTCTGAGAATTCTGATGGCTATTGAGATTACTACCTACCCAATTGATCCTGAGCTCAAGTCCCAAAACCATCCTTTTTTAGAGCCCTTTCGGAGGATTATGTGTTAGGTGTGGCTGCTAATAATAATCAGATGGTCTTAGGGGCTAAGGGAGTAAATCAAACCTTGAAAGGTTGAAGATGCTATTGAACTTGCTGGACTGCCTAAGTGTGTTTTGATGGTATCACATAATAGCTGTGTTACTAGTGTTACCCAAACACTAGTAAGAGTAAAATTGTTCCTAGTTTCATTAGTTGATTTTTTAAGAGATGGATAGGGTGAAGGAGATGTTTTTGTATAACTCTATTATTGCTAATAGTCTTTCCTCCCCTTTCTTTTCCATTTTTCTAATCTTCCCAGTCTTAGCACTGGACTACAAGTGATGGGTTTTTTTTAACAAGCACATTTCAATCCAGTCACATTTTTATTAGCTGTGCATACAAAAAAGCCTTGATACATTATATAAATGTATACATTAACACAGTTAATCACCCACGGAAGCATTAACTCTGACTTCTTGGTGAGTGAATGACAATGCGCTCTATTCCGTTAAGAAATCATGCACTTGAATGAAATACCGTACAATGATTTGACATACCTTCCTCGTTCAGGCCATTTGTAGCATGGAAAGATTAAGCTCAGTGCAAGTAGTTTTGGCACACCATCCCTTCAGCGGAAAAGATGCTATCAGCCATGCTCTCGTCTCCCTCCCCCCCCCCAACAGCCAGCTGCCCAAGGCTGCTTTTCACGGCATCCACTGTGTCCCTCTCTCTGCTTCCTTCCCTGTTCACCAGCCGCCTTGCCTTGAATTCTCTGTGGTCATTTCTCAAGGGACGGAAGCAGCACTTCTAGTTCCCATCCTCCCAGACATTGTCTGCTGCTGCTGCTGCTGCTGACAATAGAAGCATTGAAGCTTTTACAGTTGGTGGTTCCCTTCGTGGACAATGCGGTGCTGTGTTCTCTCTCCAGGATCCATATTTCTAGTGGCGATGGGAGGCAAAGCAGCAAGGGCTAGCTAGAATCGGGAGCTGTTCCCCGGCATTTGATCATAAAGATCTAGCCCACTTTCTTCATTGTTGCTAGGCAGTAACCAGAAAGGATGAGATGAAAGACGCGAGGAAGAAAAGGGATTTAACGGGAGGTTTTGTGCAGAAGAATCCAATCCTCCGTGGTTCCTCGGCTGCTGCACAGGAAGGGCAGCAGTTGAAATGTGGGCTTTTGACAGATGCTGTCTTCTGACAGAGCAGAATTTCACGTCATTGCTTGGCTATGCCCCACGTGACGGTTTGCATTCATTCGGGCTGAATCTAAGAGCAGCCAGAGAGAGCTCACTGCTTCTGCTTCCCTTCGACAGAGGATGCACGCATGCAGCATAGCAGTGAATGAATAAAACGAGAGATAATGGGGATTGATGAGATCGGTGCGTTTTCCCCAATTGCCTCCCTTTCTCTTTAATGCTATAATAACTACCACTTCCTACACATGCCTTAATGGTCAGATATTAGTTTATCTGAATCCAGACAGATTTCTGCATTATATAAATGCAAACTCTTTATAGTATATTGACCTTTGCCATTTTTAAGAAGCTACCTTGGGATTTTTACAAATTACCTTGAGATAAATTTATTGGCTTATACTAGCCATAAGCCTTGTTTTGAAAATGTTAGTCAAAACAGGTTCTGCCAGTTTTAACGCCATATTTTAAATATATAAAACAATTACATCATCAGAGTAATAATTTGATACCCATTTCTTTAAAAAAAAAGAGGCCAAATGTTTATTTAGTGAAACATTTTAATCGCATGTGGTTAAAAAAACACTTGAAGAATTCCATTAGCCAAGTTTGAATATAAAAGCATCATTGTTTTTATGCACATCTGAGAGGGGGAGGGGGGCAAATGATGTCATTTCTCTCATAATGCCATTGCAACAATGACTCATTTGTGCTGTAAGCATTGTGGTTTCCACTAGATTCCTTCATCTCAACTGAGATTAAAAGGAAATATTGACATTGAAAGGGAGATATAACTTCCTTGACAGGCGATGCTTATAACTTTGTTTTCTATGAATTTATTTCTATTTCCTTTTTGTTAGTTATTATTCTTGATAATAAAATAAATAATTTTAAATGTGCATTGTGTAAATATATATTTTTTAAAAAACATGGTTTTCCAAAATCTTCTACCAATTCAATTTCATAGGATGAGCCATGGTTTGTAATGTAGTTTGAAGGAGAAAGAGTTTTATCATGTTAAACATTTGTAAATGTTAGAGTTAATCGCAATTAATCGTTAATCGAGCAATTAGATCCTCATTCATTTTCTTTCTGAGCGAAAAAAAATGTAATTGTCTGTGACTTTAGGAGTCTTTTGTGAATGAATTTGTCAAAAACATTTTGCAAATCCAAATAAACAGTGGTTGCCAGAATATTGTTTACCCATTTATTGACATTCCTCAAAGCTTTAAAAGATTACAAATTCAGAACTTTTTCAAAAGCCACTTTGATTTTTTTTTAAAGAAAAAGTATATGTCTGAAACTTTTGAATATTGAATAATGCTTTTGATCAGTGTATCCTGTAGAGAGATTTAAGTAACAGATTTATAATTTCCTTTCCCCTCTCCTGATCACTTTTTTTTAAAATGACTTTGTTTTAACTACTTGCAGAGAACAGCATTAGAAACATAGTAATCTATATTTTCCTCTACTTCTGCTTTATGTGTTATGCCTGTTGTGTATTATGAATGCCAGTGTGGTGGTTAAGGAGGTTTACTAAGAATGTACTTAGAATAAGTCTACCCCACCCCCAGAAATTCACTGAGTGATTTAGGACCAGTTATTCTCAGCCCTTACAAACCTTACAAGTTTGTTGTTGTAGAAAAAATTAGGAGGAAGAAATTAGCTCCTGGATGAGAAGTGGAATATAAATATAATAAATAATTCATGTTAAAAATTAGAGAAATATACATGTGTAAGCTTCAGAATTAACAATTGCTAGGACTAGAAAGGTAAATGTAAATGCTAAATTGATATATTTAGGATCTTTGTGAAATATAACTTCATGGATATATGTATATGTGTACACACACACACACACACACACACATATATATATCCAAACTATGTGAACTTTTTCGGAGTCAGAAGTATAATATTGTCAGCTGCCCAGATTCATCTCAATAGTGAGATAACCAGCAAAGAAAATTAATTATTTAATTGGCATTGGATGTATGCTGGATTTCATCAAGGTCACAAAATGGTCACATCAGACCACAAAACAAAGTGCGATAATTCAAAATAGATGTTCATTTATCTGAAATGGATCTAAAAAATCTGAATCCATTATGTGTTAATTCTCCACAAGCTCCATTTTCAATTCATTTCTCCAAGGTCTATCATATTGAGAAAATTAATATGGAACTATGAGAGATGGGGAGGCTGTACTCGCGTGTATCCGTCTAAAATTTCATGTGAATGCTTTTGTTGCCAATAGTTGGCTCAACAAATTATATCACATCCTGTCCTAAAATAACTTTGTTGATCATAAAAACAAACAAACAGCATTGACAACAATACTATAGATGTGACACTAATTTACCCATTTACTCAATGTGATCCAGTCAGCCTGATAACACATTGTTCTAAAACAAAGAATATTTTTCCCCAGTTTTGTTCAGCTGGTCCAATAGGAATGGACTGACAAATTACTTGGAACACTTGCATCTTGGTTCGTAGACTTAAGTTTGTATAAAGCATAAAATATGTCCATGGTAACTCTTCTGAAAAGTTTTTTTAGGTTTATATTTTTTTAATGTTTCTTTGGGCTATTCTGATTTTTGGCTATTTTGTCATGTTGACAAACCTAAGAAAAATTTGTTCTGACATGTACCTTTACCCAGAATTCATTTGTGAAGTGGTTCTGCCCCATTTTCTTCTATCACGTCTGATACATCTCTGTCCTTTCGTACTTAGTTTGTTCCATAATAACCTAATTCACCTGTTTTTCCACATTAATGATGCTAATATGCAACCTAACTATAGAGTACACCCCATTGCTATTTGACTATTAAGGTGTAAGATAATCTGCAGTCATGTTAAGCAAATAAGTTACAGTTTGTATGTTTGCAGCAAACACAGTTTCCTATATCTTTTGTCATATACTGTACCAAGAGTGTGACATCCCCAGTAAAATATATTTGATTCACAGATGATAACTCCAATTGTTCTTTTCCCAAAGGTTATTTTTCCCTTTTTGGAATGCCATTGTTCTTTACTGATGTATTATTTGTCTGTGCCTACAGAGGAACTATCAACCTGACAATGGAACCTATCTGTTGTATTTGTTGTGCATAAACTTCTCTGTCCTTTTAGCCTTTACAGTTCTCCAAGGAACAGAGGCTCTCTGCAGATTCATTTCAATACCTTCTAAAGAAAGGTCAAACATACTTTGTTTCTGATATTGGCAAAGACAGGAATAAACAGTAGAGACATATTAATAATGACAAACTTGTATTATTAAGGTTAGTAATGAAATGAATTTGGTAATAATCCAATATGCAGAATTGTGGCGAAGAGGGTTGCTATTTATATCCAAGTACTACAAATGTAAGGTTAGTGTCTTGTTTCATATAGATCTAGCTACGTACTTCAGTCATGAGCTTTTTATTCAGAATAAACCCTCCTTCTCAACACGTGAATCAATAAATGGTTAATTCTTCCTTATATTTTGCAGTAATGGTAACAAATTATAGTGTTAATTTCAGGTATTTAAATCAAAGTAATGTGTGTACTTCTAGTTTTTCTTTTCCCTTCCCTTCAGTTTAAGTTCTAATTCACCCTAGTATCCTATTAACAGAGAAGAATGTTGAGAACTGTGAAGTGGCAAAGGTTGTGGAACAGGTTTTTCATGCTTTTAATAATGAGACACAGTTTTATATATATGTATGTATATATGTGTGTTGTATTTGT